TTATAACAAGGAGTCCCTATGTCAATTTTCAGACCTCTAACATCAAAATTTGCGAAAGTCTCATACAAACTTCCATCTCCTAGTTTGAGGGTTAGGGGGCGGGGTGGTTTATATACTAATACTAGCTTACATACTAAATTTCAGTTTTCTAGGACTTCAGGAAGTACCCTAAGAATTTTGATGATCATCAGTGAGTCAGTGACGAAATTGGAGTTTTTTAGACATCAATAAAATCTAAAGTATAAGAGCTATGCAATTGAAACTTTATATGTTTAATAAGTCTACTATTGATATCATACTCCGAGAATTTCGTTTATACCAGATAATCCAAACCCAAGTTATGTGGGTTAAAAAAAACAACGAAGCGCTTCGAGAAAAGGTAGGTAGTGCCCTTGCGTTTCGCTTGGCTCGTCTTGGCGGGGGCACTACCGCGCCCCCAGATTCAAATCGTGTGTAATACAAGTGAAAATCTATAATAATATTATAAATGCGAAAGTTTGTGAGAATGTCTGGATGTATAGATGTATGGATATTTGTTACTCTTTCACGCAAAAACTACTGAATAGATTTTAATGCAACTCTACAATAATATAGCTCAAACATCAGAATAACACATAGGCTACTTTTTATCCCGGAAAAATTTACGTACGGTTTCGGTGGAATAGATTTGTTTTTTTTTTCTAGCCGCTAGTAAGAAATATTGTTAACTTATTCTGCCTACATTAAAAATAAAATTGATATTACTAATCGATAAGTAATTTTACTGGTACATGTATTCTGACGATAGTACAGAACACAACAAAAACCAATTTTAATTCGATCAACCCATTGAATTTAATGCAATTGATTTCTAAAAGTTTTCAATTAAATTGAAAATGACAATTTATTCTCACACTCCATTGCAATTATTTACAATTTGCGGATTCACTGCCATCAATGAAACAATGTTTTATTGCATGGAATCGTTTTGGTGAATGCATGATAAAATTGCTGGTATTATACGAAGTGGATGGACATTAGATTATAATCAGGCTACATATTATATATGCGAAACTTTTGACTGCCTCGGTGGTGTAGTGGCTAGCATGTACGGCTGCACACCCGGAGGTCCTGGGTTCGAGTCCCGGGTCGGGCCAAGTTTAGCTATTGTGTCTTTCTGTATAGTAAGCCTCAGTAACAGCCCGGAGATGGGAAGTTGGCGGTGTTTCACCCCCGTGCTTCGGAGAGCACGTAAAGCCGTCGGTCCTGCGCCTTAACTCTCACTGGTCGTGTCGAGTGGTCGTCCCACCGGAGTATGAGAGTGACAGGAATAGAGAGTGCACTTGTGTATGCGCGTACACTTGTGCACTATAATATCTCCTGCGCAGTTGGCTAGTCTCAATGAGATTGGCCGCCGTAGCCGGAATCGGCTAGGAGAACATCATCATCATCATGCGAAAGTTTGTATGTGTGTATTTGTTACTATTTCACGCATAAATGACTAGACAGATTTGGATTAAATTGAGTACACAGATACACAGATAGAGACTATGACCTGGAGGTATATACATATATATATACGCGCACCCGAGCGAAATGAGGGTCGTTAGTCTAATTTGATTATTATACTATAACTATTAAAATGACTGGTCTGGTTTTAAAGTAATAGCTTGCTTACTTAGGACTTAAAAAGTTGTTTATATATGAACGATATGGTTTAGATTTGTAAAATCTATTCTAAGCGTTCTTTGACGAGTAGTTTGTTTTACAAAATAAATTAAATATGAAAAGATCTGGCTCAAATAATTTAAACTAATTGTAATAAGCAAAAGAGAGTTAGTGTTCTCGGTGGTGTGGGGGTTGGTTTTTGACATGTTTTATTTTGTTGTTTTTAACGCACTAAAATAAAAGAAAAGCATTATTGATAGTAATTCGTTTGAGTTTTTAGTTCACAAATTATGGTACGGGTGCATTGTTCAACTGAACTTAATCATAGTTGAATGCGTATACTTTGGTGTCTGTTCCGTTAACTGCCGTAAAAAAAGGTTGTAGTTAGGTGGGATATTGTAAAAGAAAGTCTCAGTAAAACACGGGTTTTTCGCCAGATTATTATATAATGAAAAAAAAAACGGGCATTTTCTTGTTTTCTTGGTGCAATTTCACTATTTGACTAGAACGTTTAGCGGTTTACATGACACACTTACCTAGTTTAAGTAATATAGTTGGACCATATTATTATAGTTATACCAATAGACTTGGACTTATGTTTCCTATGTAATGTGTGTGTGTCTTTCGTCATTTTTTTCGTGAATTTTTCTATGTTTTCATAGTTGTTCTGCTACTCGGAGCGAAGACAAATCTAACAAATGAAATCTGATAAAAATCAGTCTAGCCGTTCCTGAGTTATAAATAGTGTAACTAACCCGAGTTTGTTTTATATCTATAGATTTTGATCATTTGGTTTATCACAGACGCCATAATTTTAATTTGAAATCGAAATCACAATACTATAAATAATAAAAACCTATATAATGAAATAAAACTTTGAAGTTTTATTATTAGATAAAAATTAGAAATTTCATTACGTAATCAACTTAACTGAACGAACTCAATCAATACTGACAAAAGTCAACACTCCTATGTTGAAGGGTGAAGGATAAATCTAATTTGATCCATTAGTCTATTGGATTGAGCTACATATTTTCTGTCCACGTATAAAAATTAGCGAATTTTATACCCATACAATTAGATGTGTTCTAATACTTGAAGTGATCACTCTCTAGAAAGAGAGAAAGCAACATATCAAATATACTATATTTTATTATAATTCGAATAAATGAATGTAATGTAAAAAAATTATAATGCAGAGTATTTTAAATAAAACTATCTTTTCGGATTTTGTCGCGGATTTATTTGTATTTTTGTTTCCCGACGTTTTGAATGCTTTACAGCATCCATGGTCACGGGAGAGACTGAGGTGTTACATGTCTTAAAGATATAGTTGTTACAGACAGCCTACCCACAATTAACAAAATGAAAATTGCACCAATTACATTACAATATTTTAACTTTAAATATGTTTATAATTTTAATTATAATTGAATATGGAAAATTATTTATTTAATTTTTGCTATTATTTTTATAATTATTACAATTTTAAAAATATTAATTAGTAATCTATATTTAGTGTTGCCATTATTATATTTATAACCATAAGAAAAATATAAAATATAGTATTAATTATTTGAGCCACAATTGATCTATGTGTAATTTGAAAAAGTTAAGATTAATTAAAAATAATAATTTTAATTTAAATTTGCTATTATTTAAAAAACAAATTATTAAGCAACACATTACTACATACATTTACAAATGAAAAAGTGAAAAAATATTATTAATCAGAAATGCTATCATTTTGATCTACACAGTAAGAACTTACTACATCTACCTGTCTGTTATGTTTAGATTTATTATTAGATTTTATTATATTAATAACAGGATCCCATGACGATGGTAGTACCCAGCCATCTTCCATATTGAAATAAGGATGTTTTTTAATTTCTATGGCTTCTCGAATCATTCTAGGGCGATATCGGTTTTAAACGTCGGGAAACAAAAATACAAATAAATCCGCGACAAAATCCGAAAAGATAGTTTTATTTAAAATGTCAAATATTCGCGTAAATCTAAGAAAGTATTATAATGCAGAGTACTAAAATATTTCATAAAAAAACTACAAAAGTTTTTTAAAATTATTTTTATATTTCAAAGACGGTGTATTTTTTAATAAATAAACTATTGTTTAACAGCTCAAATTAAATAAAAATACTGCTGTAATATAACAATATATTCAAATATGAAATTTTAGATTAATATCTATTCTTATTGAATTGATTCTTGTTAATTATAGTATCTCAATTAAAATTCATTATTTAAAGATCGCATTGATTCTTCATATTCTGTTAGTTATAATTTTTTATTTTATATTATTAAATTGTTGTTGATTATTTATATTTTATTATTTACAAGTTTATAATATTAATACAGATATGTGTTTGTTATATTTTAAATATTATCTTTTTACAGTATTGTTATCCACCCTGGGGTAGTGTGTAATCTGTATAACATAGATAGCGCCACATTACACCCAACGTTGGGTACATAGAGTTTAAAAATAGTTGTGATAGTCATTTTAGGGCATAATTAGTTTAATTTGTCATCCATGATAATTATCCATAAACAAAACGTGTAAAATGTTGCAAGAAGTGCTTAGTTATTAAATAAAGTTATCAACAGTCCAAAACGAACGGTCCCCTGTCCGCGGATTTAGAGTTCTGTTAAATTCAATTACTTTTTCAATTTGCAGCTCGGTTGCGGATCTCGCGGATTTTCACGATAAATACGGGATAGCTGTTTTATGCAGAACGTGCGAATAAAACACGTTGGGAATGCAATATGATTTTATGACTGCAAAATATAATATTTTTGGTGTTTAATCGATATGGGCGCATTACTTTTATATTGTGGACACAAAATATTAATGTTCCAATAATAGTGTCACCGCTGAGGTATAGAGATAAATCCAGAGTTAGAAATGGAAATAATTACATATTTTTTCTATTAATTAATAGTGATCATCATCACTTCACTTAGGCTTGACATTTTTTTTGACAATTTAGCTTTTCAGCAAACAAATTGGCTAAATTAAAGTAAAAACTGATTGTTAAGTTTAAATTACGTAGCATAGATAAAAATATTTTATATAAAAATTATTAATTTGTTTAAAAAAAAATTTTGAAATATTTATGTAAAGAACATAAATTTATTTAATATTTTTTTTTAAATAAAATTATAATAAATAAGAAAGAAATATTATTCGTGTAGTAAAATAAAACCTTTTTACGAACTATAAAATCAGCATGAAGGTGGTATATGTTAATATCAATGCACGGAGATAGCGGTGCCTGGCACGATGGCGTTCCAAAACCGAACCCCAGTCGAGTCGGTTCAGTCTGTCAGTCATGGCAAGCAGGACGGCACACGATAAAACAAAGTGTAGACGACGAAAATCAAAAAATTATGAAGATAATGATTGTGCAAGCCTCGCTTGGCTCCTGAACTTTAGGTTAGATGACTTCGTAAACGTTAAAGTCCCCGAAGATAACGTACCGGAGCCTAAAGTTAGGGACGAATGCCCCGTAGCAAAGAAACCGCCGTACACTTATCCAGAATTGATAGAACGAGCGTTAAGAGAAAATGGAGAATTAACAGTGTCTGCTATATATCAATGGATATCGTAAGTCTTTGATTTTTGTATTATTTCAATTTAACTAACATGTTGAAAATTTGTATGATAAATAATTTATGAATAAATCAATTTCTTAGTTATTTATTGTTTTTATGTATTTTTTTATAGTTTTAAATATCATGAATATTTAATCCGATGAAATGGTGTAGTTTCGTCTTTATTTGATCATACCATTCTGTCAGTTTTTCTGCAATGCAGTATCGTGGTGAATGCAGCTAATAAAATAGGTTTGTAACCTGAAATCTTCGCGGGCTTCAACTTGTTCAAAGTGTACAAAGCCTGTAACTTGATGAATAGCTTTTCATGAAGGAAAGAGAATAATATACGACTATAGCTCTTTATATTTGTCATATTGCACGATTTTGCATATTATTATTATTTTATTTACAAATACAAATGTATGCATAGACTAGTGTTTCAATCTGAGTTTGCTCATTTCCGTCAAATGTTTCATTTTCCCATATACAAAAGATTCCATAAACTTTAGATAACATATGGGAACCATTGGTGTATAAAACTAGACTGAATCACTTTTCAATTCTAAAATTATGTATTCTAGGCAAAAATCACGCTGATACGTTGCAGAATTGCTTTGTAAAATATAGAAAAGTTCGTATGGAGTTGCTCTCGTAGGATACACTTACGTTATGTACATACATAATACGTTATATTATTATAGTTTATTTTATATTTAGTACTTTAGTATATAGTAAGTGACTCAAGTCTAAATTTAGATTTTTTATAGAGGATATGTTCTATATGGTGGCCATTTCGGATACATCGTATTTTTATTTTATCGTCATATTACTTTTTTAATTGGCAAATATAAGAAGTGGTGGTCCATTTTCTCTATTCTATACTAATATTATAAAGAGGTAAAGTTTGTGAGTTTGTGACGTTGTAGGGGGTAATCTCTGGATCTACAGAACCGATTTAAATGAAATTTGGTAAAATATATTTTGAGACCCTGGGAAGGACATAGGATGCTTTTTAACCCGGAAATCCCTTAAGAGGTAGAAAATGGGGATGAAAGTTTGTACGGGGAAATAAGGTAGGGACGAACCCGAGCGAAGCGAGGGTGAGTCGCTAGTTTAATATATATATAGGCGTTCGTATTTGTATTACGTGAGCGTTGACATGTCATAATGTCACGTGACTGCTATTCTCCATTTCTAGTGGAAAATTTATGTGATTTTTTATTATTTTCTTTTTTAATACCTTACATTTTCGACGAACGAGCATCGATGGGTAATCGATTACCCATCGATGTCCGTTTCTAAAATTTTAGATGAAACACATATATAAAAACATGATTATTATAATTATATATTATTATCTATAAACATTACAATGCTATCTACTGGTGACTTTGATGACTTTTTCAATGCATTGAAATACTGTTTTTTTTTTAATTCGCGCAATGTCATAATTTTCAGTCCAGTAAAAAAAAACTTTAAACCCATACATTTTTCAGTACAGAGCGAGACTATATTCGAATATAGTATAATATGTATTTCACAGATAACTCTAAAACATAGTTCCAAAATGGATCCATGTTTAATCGTTTTACATTATGAATATAACCTTTTCATTGGCTTCGACTGTGTGGGCATGATTTATTATTTGTATTTTGTTTTCATACTGCGTTGCGCTCACGTTGACACTTTTACCTCGCCCCAGGGAAATGTACCGACTGAATAACTTATTGGGATAAAAATTAGTCTACTATATGTTTAAATATAATAATATTAAGCGTGAAAATTTCGTACAGAATTATAAAGGTTTTTTTTATAGCTCAATCGTTGAAAGAAAGTAAGATCATGTGACAGCTTGCTTGATTTGATTATCTTTTAAGTCGCAGGTTGCCGTATCGATTTTTGCACAGCAAGATTAACATCTTTCTAGTAGTTAATTTCAAAGATTCCATAAATCTATATTAATGTAGAAAGCTGAAGAGATTAAATTAAATTAAATATGTTGAGACATTAACACCACCGGGTAAATTTCTAAGAAATTAATTAAAATTCTAAGAAATCTATTGTTAACTGACCGCCGGCGTGTCCGCGGTCGTGGAGGGATTAACACACAGCACTATCTAATTCAAACAGTCGTGCTCATCACACAAATGAGTGTCCCCAGCAGGACTCGAACCTGCGACCGCTGGCACAGCAAATAGGGTCACTACAAACTGAGCCAAACTTATCGTCATATCATATAGATTACATATATTTATGTTCATTTGAACGCGCTCATCTTTGAAAGTTTTCTGCCTTTTTTAACAAACTAGACGAGCAAAACCGCAGCCTAAAGCTAATGTAGAATGAAATCTCTTCACTTTATACAGTAAATATTTGCAATAATTTATTAATTTTTAGCATATTAGTAATTTTCATTCCTAGGGATAGATGCTACATCAAGTTGGTCACATAATAAAAAATCTAGTTGGATGTGATATATTTTTTGTTAAGATGTGTTGTTTGTCATACAACTTACGTACTCAACTTAATTTATAATGTTTTCCTGACCGATTTTAGGGTTCCGTACCTCAAAAAGAAAAAAGGAACCCTTATAGGATCACTTTGTTGTCCGTCTGTCTGTATGGACCCTTTTTCTCAGGATCGCGTAGAGATATCAAGTTAAAATTAATATTAAATACTCAGGTCTGTAATCCCTTGGAGGTGTAAAAAAACCAAACTTCTAAGTCAACGCAATCAAAAGATACTACCGCAAAGGAATCAGGACCTATAGGATACTTCTCGTTGCCCTAGAACCGTGTTTCAAAAACCGTAAAGTTAGTTGTTACATCACAAAAAAAAAGATGTTTGTGATTATAAACTTATTTTATTCTTACATGCTACGGAACCCTCGGTGTGCGGATCAGACTTGCGCTTGTCCGATTTTTTCACATCATTGTCCTCAAATAATTAACTTATTACTTCCAAAAATAAGCCTGTTAGATTGAAATGATAAAAAGGAACTAGTCGAAATCATATTCCATTTTCTAAAGAATTCATGAAGTAACATAAGTAAGCCAGTCATTGCGTTATATCAAATTATATTTACAAAGCAAATCGTAATATTACATTAGCGTCGTTGTTCGGCCTCCCTTTGTTCCTTTTGTGACGGAATTTGTATACCAACTTATTGTTTTCTTGTTATTATGCGGTTCTAGAAGCATACCTACTGTTTCGAAGAAATTGTTTTTCCTATGTTTCAGTAAATTTGATTTTTTATGCTTCAATTGAGTGCTTTTTTATATGTATCGTGTTAGTAAGAGGTTATAGGAGATACGATTTTTACACGGAAAAATATCTCATTTTTTTATATATATATAAATTATATTATATTATATTATATATATATATATATATATATATATATATATATATATAAATCATGTTATGAGATCAAAACGCGTTTTATTAAAATAAATATATTTTCTAGTCCGGTTTTAATAAATTTATAAATAGCAATTGAATTAGCAGTAAGGAAGAAAAATCATGACGTACATGAATTTGAAGGCTCGTGAAGAGTATTTAGTGCCTTAGCAAAGCAAGCCAGGAATATCTAGTGTTATATCTAAAAGCACCTATATGTATGAGTAATCAAATAAATAATATCGACACGACCTCAAGCTACACTATAATAATAATAATTAGTACTTGGATGACAGGGCTTCGTAGCCTAAAAAGCAAAACGTTATCTAAATACAAAATTTGATCGAAATAGCTGTTTCCGAGATAGATGAAATAAATTTAATATATACAAGAATTGCTCATTTAATACTATAATACGATAATAATAATGATAATCTTCTTTATTAGTAACTTATAATTATAATTCGTCGTTTCATTAATAATGAATCAAACACTAACATGAAATACTTAATGCTAGCGACTAGGTAGATACGTTTTGACGGTTAGTATGGAATAGATAGACTATATATTATTTGATATATAGCCTATAGCCTTCTTTAGTAAACGGGCTATCTAATGCAAAAAGAATTTTTCAAATAGGATCAGTAGTTCCTGAGATTAGCGCGTTCAAACAAACAAGCAAACTCTACCTCTTTATAATATTAGTATAGATAATTCAGTTTCCACATACTATGCTATTCTCATACTCTATAACCGTATAATATGTTGTATATTTAAAATAATATCTTGTTAGTAAAAAAAGTAAGATTCAAATCAAAACACTGTGGTTTAAAAAAAACAATGCAAGAAAACTTCCTAAGCTCCATCTCTAAGTAGTATTGTTTTCTCGTTTTGTGCTATCTTTACTTTGGTGCATAATAATTTTTCTCGGAAATAAGAAATATCAACATTCCTCTAATAGCTAGAACTTGTTTCTTTTTAATGGTAAGTAATTGCTCGCTTGTATACAAGAAATTTAGTCAAGGTATGTTATATATAAGTACTCTATTTGTTTCTATAAATAAAATGGCGACTCATCCTCGCTCTGTTACATTTTAATTTTTAACGTTTAGTATAGAGTTCTCAGAGATGAGGTATTTTCCCGCAGTAAAAAGTGTCCTACACGTGGACCCGGATAATCAGCTATCATCATACCAAATTGCATCAAAATCTGTCCAGTGGTTTTCTCATGATTCTTTCCCAGAGAGACAAACAGACAGACAAAAATTCCAAAAACTACAGACTCGGCCTCTGTATCGATAATAACAATAATTCAATAAGATTTTCCAAAAAAAATAATTTATGTAGAGATTCGATTCAGAATTTTAATATATGTATATTAATTAATTGCAATCTTTAAATTGATCTTTATATTTTATCTTCATTTTAACTTTATCACGCTATTCGTCTCTGGAGAAAAAGGTCTTGACAGACGGTTAGTCGTAGGGACAACAAACTGAATTATAGTCCCTACGGTCCGGTACTTTTAAGCTACGTATGTAGGTTGCCTTAAATCATACGAGAGGTTAACACGATCCCCCTAACAATTAGTTCCCCTCCTACCAATTACAAGTAATCATGATAATCTGAACGATATCAGTATTATCACAAGGATTTGCCTACTTATCGGAGCGTAAAGCAAATATATAACGTGGTTATGGGAACAAGTATTAAAATTGATTATTACTCTTGCGGGCGACTACCGCTGTATTGCCTAGTTATCAGCAATCTGGTTGTAAATAATGTTCGATGTGGCCATTGTTCGCTTAATCTGATTTTGTATAATGTTTATAACATTATTATTGTCGATACACATATATTTTGTATGGAATTTTGATGTAACATACAGAATGGATTTAGTTTATGTGCAAATATGAATGATTTGTTAAACAATCTAAAACTTTGTTTGGAGCTTTGCGTTTTAGAATAAATGTTTTAATTTTCTTTCTTTTAATAAAGACAGTTTCTTTTAATAAGAAATTACACGTGCAGGTATTTTTAACGTATTTATTGATAAGTTTCGTAATTAAAATATATTGCTTATTGTACATAATGAAACATAATATGTTAATGTTAATGTTTGTTGTAATGGAAAATCTTAGTGAAATAGACATTATTATCGACACAGAGGCAGAATTTATAGTTTTAAAACTATAGATTCTTAATTCTTAAGAATTTTTGTCTGTCTGTCTGTTACCGCATCACGGAAAAATCACCGGAGGGATTTTGATGAAATTTGGTATGGTGATAGCTGGATATCCGGGTCAACATATAGGATACTTTTTACTACGGGAAAATATTTAATTACTGAGAAATCGATACTAAACGTTAAAACGTAACTAGGAACGAACCCGAGTGGAGCGAGGGTGAGTTGCTAGTTAAATATAAAATTTACTGAAGCATTACCAAATCAATAAACAAAACAGGTGAAGACAGGTGCGTTACGCTTTAGCGGAACGCCTAATACTTTTAGTTTGGGGTGATCGCGATCGACCCTGTTGTGGCGCCGTGCCTGGCACAAGCTGTCTTGGCACAATAACTGATCAAATTATGAGATTTTAGAGTAGTATGTAATCTATACATGAAATATGAATGTGTGTTTATCTGCTCGTAACTTATTTATACTTATAATATTATGAAAAGAAAAAGACATATTTTTTTGTTTGTTATGGATAAACTAAAAATCCGCTATACCGATTTAGATGGATATGAAGATAGTTTGAAACCCTGGAAAGGACGTAGAATACTTTTATCTTGGAAATCTTTAGGTAGGTGAATCGCTAGTATTAAGTATAGGTATATATTAACAAAGATGGCTTCTGTATTTTTGTGTATTTAAAATATCCTAGTGTTAACTTTTTACTTTTTAATTTCAGTGACCGCTTCCCCTTTTATAAAGCAAACGATGACCGCTGGAAGAACTCCGTCCGGCACAACTTATCTATCAATCCACATTTTCGCAAAGGCGCGAGAGCGTCGCAGGGGGCCGGCCATCTCTGGTCACTCGCTGCCAACGCTATAGACCTACTTCCTTTAAGAAACCAGTACCCAGTAGAAGAAAATATTGAAAAAGTACAAGAAAGCCAAGTTATTGAATGCCCAAAGGTACCTAGTAAATGATAGTTGATTCATATTTTGTTATTCTTATTATTAATGGTAATCTATATATATATATATATATATATATATATATATATATATATATATATATATATATATATATATATATATATATATATATATATATATAAAATAGCTGGAAAATCGAAAAGTTTAGAACTGTTTATTTTGTACCTATGTATATATAATATAATGTATCTATATATTCCATACTAACCGTTAAAATGTACCTAGGGACGAGCCCGAGCAAAGCGAGAGTGAGCCGCTAGTACTATTTATATTTAACATATCGGTATAGAATCAATAGCTAGTGAGAGATTTTTCATACAAATGCATAGGCTTATTTAGTATTCAGTCACGATATGTATAGTGAGTGTTCTATATCAGCATACCGACTTGTTAAAAAAAATTACTCGATAAAAAATAGTAGTGGTAAGCGAGAGTCTTTAAATTATCCTGTGCAAATGAATATGAAGGAAATAAAAATAAAACCTTTTTCGAGCTCTATTAATAAAATTGAGTGCATAATATTTCAATTAATATATGAAGATAATAAAATTCCCATTTTAAAACTTCATTTGGATCGCAATTAGAAATGTATTTTCCATACTTATATTGAACTATTTTTTTCATGCGGCTCTGCTCGCGTGAAAATATACCTATATACTCGTACATCTTCGATAATAATAAATAGCCTAAGTATTAATCCAGGATCCGTTCCAATACATAAGCTTTCACATGTATAATATTAGTTGATAACAGCGTCTAGGCAGTGGTAGCCTAGTGTAGCGCGCTGGCTTTAGAAATTAAGTGAAGCGGGTTCAAACCCCGGCTATCGCACCTTGATGATTTGCAAATGAAAGTATCTTTTTCATGTGCTAATCATTTCCAACATGTTTATCACTTGTCTTACGGTCAAGAAAATCTTGAGGAAACCTACATGTCTGAGAGAACCTAGAAAATTTTGAAATATCGCACATGGCCAGCATGGTGGACTATAGCCTGATCCCTCCCAGGAGGCCCGTGCCCAAAATTAGTTATATTCATTATTCTAAAAAGTACTAAATACACAATCAGCGAAAAAAAATGTGCTCACCGAATGAGCGTCAATTTGAACATTTGAGCGCGCTCTTTTTTTGTGAAAATAACTTTAAGTATTGAATTTAAGTTTCAATTTATATTGTTGTATATTTATTTCAACTAGAATAATTACCTAAACACAATTGGTGACAGTTTTAAAAGAACTTTTGCATGGGATTGTATATCTAGTACTTTTTTGATCGATGGTTATATTGAATTATTTTTCAAGCGGAATCAAATTCCGGACTTTAAACAAGATCCTTTCAATGACAGTGCCCTATGCATGACGATTTTTACTTCAAAAGAAATAAAATTCTATTTCAGACGTCTTTTCAACATTATACATTAAATATATAATAAAATTTTATCAAAATGTGTCCAGTTGTACGTGATGTGCGTACATGGGCAGGTTACTGTAATATTATAGTGGGAAAGAGGAAATGCGCTCGGAGTGTGGTTCCATATAAATTTAATGAAAATCGCTTCCATATTTTTCATTAGCTCCCAGAGTGCACTCCGTTCTTGTAATTTATTTTTATACTAAAGTATTCTATAATTTTAAATAAAACGTACCATACTCTATTTCCTTGGTGAGATTTTGTTTTACTAGTTATGATTTTCGGTTAGCGTGCAATAAACGAATCATTTTATTTAATGGTGTTTAGTTTTCAAATTAGAGCATTAATAGCAAAGTCGTTATTTCCGTTCGTCTATTTGTAAGTTTAGTTCTTGGACCGTACTTAAGATTATAGTACATAAATTTTCTTTCGGAATTATAAATGTAACATATTTTTGCCCGACTTTCAAAAAGGAGGAGGTTTTATGTTCGTCTGTATGTATCTTTTTCTTCTAATCAAGTCTTCAATTTGCCGGGGAATGGAACAAGCTATAATTTATTTAACAGCAGAATTGCTGCTACTATACCAGATGATGATTCAACACAATATATACAATTCAACAACACATATTCTAACATGAATATTGTAATGCTTCAATTTAAAATAATGAATATTACGTGGGAATTCCCTTAAGAGAATTGTTGAGGAACCCTCTTACTGGGGATCATATCGCAAATAAATAAAAAGGTTCGCGAGATGCAGTGTGTTGGATAAATAATAAAACAAGGAAGTTGATTTAAAATCCTTTGGGATATTATCGAGAGACCTGGAAGAGATGGAAATAAAACAAATTTGTTGGTACATAATATGTATGTATTCTTTTCTTCCTTACACAGATTTTAAATACAATCGTTGGTAGAAAAAGGAGAATATTAATATTATTACTCTCGGACTACTATTATAAATGCGAATGTTTGTATATTGTATGCGCGTGAATGTGTGTTTGTTTGTGTGCGAATATGTGTGTTTGTTTGTTACGCATTTGCGATTAAACGGCTGAGATACAAATATACTGTGACATTGAGGAACACAAAGGACACTGTCAGGCTCGATAATTATGAACAGTAGCTTGCTAGTATTTAATATCTATACTGATAAATAAAATTGAAGTGTCTGCTTGTAATATCAAAATAACAGCGTTTTACTACATGAATATGAAATTATATACGGTACTTATAAAAAAAACATTTTTTTTTAATTTTTGTTTGTCTGTCTGTTCCGGTTAATCTCTGGAATGGCTTAACTGATTTTGACGGGACTTTTATTGGAAGATAACTGATGTTATAGGGAGTAACACAGGCTACTTTTATTTTAGAAAAAGAATTAGGGTTCCGTTCAAAAGCCCGAGAGAAGCGAGGGTGAGTCACTAGTTTACGATAAAAAAATAATACTTATGTCTTTGAAAATGTATAAAAATAATATCTTTTACTTAAATTTTTTGCCTCTAGATTTGCCCCAACGCCACTTGTACACAGAAATGCAAAACAAGATACCTAAACAAACACTAACAAGTATTATTCTAAGAAAGCAACTAACTAACTGTACGTTCTGTGGCCCAATTTCGTTAACCGAATCGGGTCAATTAAGAACTTTGTCTTGAAGTTGCTTTGCAAACTTTAATAAATATAATAATTAAGTATATTTCCTTGTAAATGGATGAGGGTTCGTTTGTGTCATACTTAGGGTTAAAGTCCGATGAAAAAAATGTTTATTGAATCATTTTAAATAAAACTATCTTTTCGGATTTTTTCGCGAATTTATTTTGATTTTTGGTTCCCGACGTTTCGAATGCTTTACAGCTACTACTACGACTAGACTGAGGTGTTAGATGTCTCTAAGGTATTATATAGTTGTTACACAGGGTAGGCTACCCACAATTAACAAAATGAATCATTTATAGATAGTTTTATTTAAAATGTCAAGAATTCGCGTAAATCTAAGAAAGTTTTATTGAATCACTTTATAGGATCAGTCTAATTTCTTTGAATGTCCTCGATAGAAGCTTATCTATACTTATTATAAAGCAAAAGAGACGCATTATTATTTGTGTTTTTTTGTTATTTATACGTGATTTTCTTTTTGACAACTAATGAGATTTATTGTTGTGCAATTTTTTATATAGTGTATAAAATATAGATTATATTAGGTATATATTTGCTTATATAGATTTAATTGATCAATTGACTGCTTTTTTTTTTGAAGACATTATGACTAAGTTCGAATTTGTGTTAACATGATCAGAGCTTACGATTTTTGGGTTTTATTCTTTGGTTTGACGTAACGTCACTTACGATGCCATTTTTTGAAGAGATATTTGTTAGGAACTGTGCTTGTATGGTTTTCAATATCAATTGTTTCGTATTTTATAATATATGCAAGCAGTGCCACTTTGTGTTTGTCCAGATCATAGTCAATCTGTGTACAAAATTTCATCCTAATCTATTCAGTCATTGCAGCTAAAAGGAGTAACAAACATACACACATATAGATACACTAATATTGGCAGCTATTATATGTGTATTCAGCCATTTTTAACTTTACTCTGTTGGCCACGGCCCTCCTTTCAATACGAGGGTGATCAGGCCATAGTCAACCACGCTGGCCAAGTGCGGGTTGGCGGACTTCACATGTCTTTCGAAAACTTACTAGGTTCTCTCAGATATGCAGGTTCCCTCACGATGTTTTCCGTCACCGTAAGATAATTCGTAATCACGTTGAAAATGAGTTGAATTTGCTTCACTCTGTTTCACAAGCGAGCGCGCTACCACTTGGAAACCACTGCCTTATTACATGTTAGTAGTCCAATATTAATTCGAATATAAAATAATGAATAATAAGAATTTTATTAAAATTTCCTTTACAGGTCATTGTTTTGGACGAAGCAGCCATCGCGGCCGCTAGCATTTTACCCGATCAGGATCTATTTACAGGTAACACAAGTAAGTAATTTATAAATATTAAACGTACCACACTATCACTACATAGTACATTGTAATACAAAGTAAGGGTATTTATGTATGTATGTCGGTCAGTGTGTTTGTCTGTACGTTTATTAAAGTACTAAAGTAGTCTAAACTAGTAACTACTATAATAACAATACTGTGATATTATATAGGTAGATTTTATTCAATTTACATGGGAGTGTTTTAAAATGACATGAAACTTCATTTACATAAACGAAATTTAAAGCGCAACTATTTTTATACCGCCATTTATTAACAAAGTAAAAAACATATAGTAAGTCTTAAAATAAAAGTTAGGGGGGTTAGACCTTTTTTACCATAACATATATATGTACATATATATTTATATATATTAAATAACTTAGAAAATTTTCATAATTTTGTTCCAGTGTTTCTAAACCCAGTGTCAACAGAGCAAGTCGTACGCGAGTGCGGACTCATTACTATGTGATTGCATGAATGTCACACTGTAGTATAAATTAAAAGCCATGAACAAAAAAAAATCTAGTATAATTGAAATGTACTGATAATTTATAATATTCTAGTGACTTTATAGTTAAAGACTCTTATATATTATGCTGATGTAAAGTGTTCTTTTATACCGGTTTCTAAAAAGGAGGAGGTTTTATGTTCGTCTATATGTATGTCTTTATTAATCTGTATCGATTATTGTATTATTATATCCATATCCGTTTTAACTGTCTCGATGATGTAGTGGCTAGCATGTACGACTCCTGGTCCTATTTTCGAGTCCCGCGTCGGGCCAAGTTTAGTTATTGAGTCTTTCTGTTTACACCTCCAGGTAAATTTCTAAGAAATTAATTAAAATTCTATGAAATCCATTGTTAATGACACGCCGGCGTGTCCGCGGACGTGGAGGCATTAAGAAAATCACAGTAACAACAAAATTTAGGTGCATTTATTTAAATATTTGAATAACAGACATACTTAATTGAGTTAAAAATTAAACAAGGTTCTAAATCCGTTTTTCTTTTTATACACACATACCTATGTATTGTTATAATTTTTAACCGCTGTGGTGGAGTTTAAGTGTACGTATGTAGCTTTAAAGACGATTTTACTTGTTTGAAAATCTCAAATTATTGTAGATATCCCAAAAATGTTGTACGTTAGCATATTTTTTTTAATCATAATGTGTATGAGTCAGTAACTTTCTTAGCATTTAACTGTAGTTTAACTAATAAACAATTTTAGTAGTTATTTACACTGCACCAAAAGCAAATTGTTTTCTAATAAAACGATTATACTAAAGCATATTTGTTCTCTCTCTGTCTATGATAAATGAAATGAACTTTACTTAATAATAAAGGTCTTATGAATGCCTTTCATAGTGGATGAGCTGGAACCGCACTGAATAGTTTATTAATTTAAAATTTACGAGGACTTTGTACTGATCTTATGGCGCGTTCATACAGCGACTTTAGCGATTATTGCAAATATTGTTGTTTTATCTATACTATTATATGTATATTATAAAGAGAACAAAATTCTTTTTTATAATATGTTTGTAATGGATAAACTGAAAATTCGCTGAACCGTTTTAGATGAGGTACGAAGATAGTTTGAGGCCCTAGAAAGGATATAGAAATTTGTATCCCCGAAATCATCCCTTACGGGTACGAAAAGGGGGATGAAAATTTGTATTGAGAACTTTAAATATATGCATATTATAAATATAAACACCCATGACTGGAGTACAAACATTCATGGTCATCACACAAATGAATGCCCCCAGCGGGAGTCGAACCCGCGACCGCTGGCACAGCAAGTAGGGTCACTACAAACTGAGCCGTGTCGTCATATATGCTTATATATTTTATAGTCCGTTTATTCTATACTATTATATATAGTATTTTATATTTTCTTGTGTTTTTTTACATTCATAAAAGAAATAGTTTCATTACGGTTTTGGCTCTGAATATGCTGTCATGGACTTAATATAATCTAGATTATATTCTCTCAAATAATAACTAAAATATAGTTAATCTTATATTATAACTAGCAGAACCCACGGCTTCGGTCGCTTGGCGCTAAAACTAAAAAAACTCTCTAAAAAGGTAGTTTCATACAAACTTTCATCCCCTATTTTACCCCCCTATAGGATGAATTTTGAAAAATGCTAAGATACATATTTATTAAAATTTATTTGAAGAGTATTAATACCAAGTTTCAAGTAATTCTCATAGAAAGTTTGGATTGTATTATAACGTGTTTTCCCGTGGGAATTAGATAAACTACTGGGGTAAAAAGTAGCCTATGTCACTCTCCAGCCCTCCAACCATTTCCACAGAAACATCCCTACCAATCCAGCACTCTGTTTTGACGTGAAAGAAGGACAAACAAACAAACAAACAAACGCAATTTTACATTTATAATATTAGTATGGATTTATATAAAACTCAGTTTTACACAGTCAGTGTGAATACGTAACTTGCATCAGACTTGTTGGTAGCTCTCGAATTTTAATCTTTAAACTTTGAATATCTAAAATACTTGAGTGTTAATTTATTATAATAAAATTAATTTACTCAACAATCGTTTAAGGTTTTTTGCGCTTTGATCAATACCTATAATATAGTATACCTATAATTTTATTTTGATTTAAATATTACACAGGTGAAGCTAGCGCTTCTCGCTTAGTCTTTATTATATTAGTATAGATAAATGATTGGCCTAATTTTTTTAATTTTGATGATCAATAATTTATTATATTCGTTTTGTTCAGTAAGGTATTTGTTATTCAGTTTCCTTTTTCATATATACAGAGAGAATAGAGAATTGATAGAGAGAGAGAGAGAGAGTTTGTTTTGTTAATTGAATTTTATCATACAACTAACGAATCACCCTCGGTCCGCTTGGGATCGTCTCTAGTTACGTTTTAAGGTTTAGTATAGATTTCTCAGAGTTGAGATAATTTTCCGCAGTAAAAAGTATCCTATATGTTGACCCGGATGATGATGATGTTCTCCCGACCGTTTCCGGCCACGGCGGCCAATCTCATTGAGACTAGCCAACTGCGCAGGAGATATTATAGTGCACAAGTGTACGCGCAGACACAAGTGCACTCTCTATTCCTGTCACTCTCATATTCTGGTGGGACGACCACTCGACACGACCAGTGAGAGTTAAGGCGCAGGACCGACGGCTTTACGTGCTCTCCGAGGCACGGGGGTGAAACACCGCCAACTTCCCAACTCCGGGCTGTTACTGAGGCTTTACAGAAAGACTCAATAACTAAATTTGGCCCGACCCGGGACTCGAACCCAGGACCTCCGGGTGTGCAGCCGTACTTGCTAGCCACGACACCACCGAGGCAGTTGACCCGGATAACCAGCTATCATCATACAAAATTTCATCAAAATCTATCCAGTGCTTTTTTTGTGATGCGTTCCTAGACAGACAGGCAGACAGGCAAACAAACATTCTATAAACTATAGATTCGGCTTCTTTGTCGATAACAATGACTATTTCAATAAAATTTTCCAAAAAAATAATTTTTGTGTACAGATTCGACTCAATTAGAATTTTTTCATATTATGTATAGATAGTCATACAGTAGTACCGTAAAACCTTTTTAATGCATGCATTTATTTTACATTAAATGAATTATAATCTATACATATAATAAATAATAATAATAATAAATGTTTTTATTTCAGGCTTATTCGCCAATATAAAATGTCTACAATAAAATTCTAAGTGAGTCGATTTGTAAATTAAATATTTTTTCAAATATCTTATTGAAATAGTCATTATTATCGTTACAGAGGCACAATTTATAATTTTTGGAATTCTTGTCTGTCTATCTGGGAACGCATCACGAGAAAACCACTGGACAGATTTTGATGAAATTTGATATGGTTATATCTGGTTAACCAGGTCATTTTTTAGGATACTTTTTACTGCGGGAAAATATCTCATCTCTGAGAAATCTATACTAAACGATAAAACATAACTAAGGATAAACTCGAGCGGAGCGAGTGGAAGTCGCTAGTATAAAAATGCATTAGTATTTATTCACTAGCAGGTCATAGATTGTATTTGATTAAGTGTAGTGATTTATGAATAAATGATATACTGTAAATAATTATCTTTTTATGTAACTACCCATTATTTTATTTTATTTTTCATAATATAGTACCTATATTTTTCTGACTCTTAAGTCACTGTACAGTACAACGATGGTGCTTGATTTTTGGCAGTTAGCCTAATTTGTCAAAAATTTTATAACTTTATAATTATAATATGCTATAATAATAAATATCCTGTTGAATATTTTTGCGCGGCCTTTATTTAATAGACAGCTTTATGGGTCATTTTAAAAAAAAAAAACCTCTTTAAAGATAGGGTGGATAGATGGATGAAGAGTCCCTTAAAAACTTACAAGTAAATATCAGTTCATACAATAAAAGGTAAGTTTTGACGGAAATATACATATTTAAGTAATATAACGAGAAAGTTCATAAACATTAACAATAAGATGCAAGAAGATTAACATTACAAAACAAAGCCTTTAGATCAAAGATGTTGTTGTGAAGGTGGAACAGAAATTATCCCTATGACCCACATTCTCGCGCGCCTTCCCACAATAATAATACGTCACCACGGCCGCCCGCTGTCTTGCGGTTACAAGCAATTGTATGCCATACATAGACATACTGGTAGATAGGCCAGTAACATTCATGTTAAATGTATGTATGTATATGTAAAGTTGTTTTAAACTAGGTTTCTCTAATAACGGAGTATGAAAATTGATATTTGACTGACTTCCAAAAAAGAAGTACTCGATGGAGGTTTTTATATGTGTTGCGTTACATCTTTAGCAATTATTGTAAATTGAATTTCATAATTATATTTTAAAACAAAAACAAGAAAAATAAAAACAAATCTATCCCGCTGGAATCGTACATTTATCCGGGATTAAAAGTAGCCTATGTTCAGTATTCAAGTCCATAATCATAATACATATCTAATCTATCTCTGTGCCTTTCATCCAGATCCGTTCAGCCGTTCTGGCTTGATTGAGTACAAACATCTATCTAAACTTTCACAGTTATAATATTAGTAAGAAGTAAGATAAATAATAATATAAACTATTTACTATAAATAATAATATAATATAATTTTGCAGATATGTACAAGCAATTGTAAGCCATACAGATACACATAAATAAACAGTGACGTTGATGTTAAATGTATGTATATATGTAAAATATCTGTTATGCTTTGGGTTTTGTTTGCTTTAAAATAAGATTCTAATTTCTAGTTATAACAAAGTATACAAGCTTCTACTTAACCGACTTGAATTTTTGAATACCTGTATTAATTATATGATGAATAGGCAGTCACCTTGTACCTTATGATGTTCAATTGTTATTATTTGAGTTAGAACAATACCCGAAATGGCGGTTTTAACGTAATACAAAC